CCCCATATGGGAGTCAACCTGCAGGTTGTCAGAGTCCTGCCATGTTCTTGGAACCATGTGACTCTGTGCCCACTAGCCTGTGGTCTCCCTGTTTCCAGTTTCACCGTTCTGTCATTGGCTGCAGGGACGTGAGTCTGAAGAGGCCTTGGCGAGCATCGGACCTAGGGGCTTGAGTTGGACTGGCCTGGGCTGTGATGAGCCTTGCTAGGAAGTTCTTTCTCATACATCCATGAATGTCACTGGTTTTGTTTCTCTAGGCAACCCGGCCGGACACCCTTGGAATCAGTAATCGGGGTGACTATGAGCACTCCTACCCCACGGTGCCTTGAAGATTGGTTTGCGCTCTACTCCCAATAAAATAGGTGTTGGAGTGCTGACTCCTCTCCCTGTGGATATAATTCTATTGAGGAATCCAGTTTTCTTTATAGGGCCACAGTAGGGGGCTTCAAAGCGTTCATGGAAAAAATGGAATCGAAAGACAGAAAATTCCCAACAACTTGGTGAAGCCCTCTGGCAATCAGGCAGGGGTGCCCCTAAACGGTTGGGCTATAAGGAGGAGCAGAGACACAGAGGCATGCAGACAACAACTGGGAAGACAGCTGCCGGCCTAGCTAAAGGCCATCAAGGAACTGAGGGTTACTGGAAGAGAGGAGGACCTTCTACCAGAGCTGACAGAGGGCCCCTGCTCCGCCCCAGAGCCACGGTCACTGCCAACCCAACCCATCTCTGTTGATTCCAATTCACGGTGAGCCCCTATGTTCATGAGTGGGGTGCTCCACTGCATTTCCTTGGCTGTCATCTTTACGGACACCAATCACCAGGCCTTTCTCCCATGATGCCATTTGGTGTGTCTGAACCACCATCCACTGGCACCACCCAGGGACCACCTGACTTCCTGAACTTCGAGGGAATAAAGCTGATTGTTTTCCAACTGCTCCCTTGTACCTCTGTTCCTGCAGCACTTGGGAGTCTATGTCTGAGGCCATGGGAAGAAAGGTGACCTCAGGCAGGGGAGGGCCCCTTCGGTTGTCAGCCAGTGTTGGCGGCAACTCTGCAGAGGAAGAAGAGGCCCAGACAGGGTGGCTCACAAATGGAATACACCCATCCACCAACATTCTTTAATCACAAAGGCACTTGAGGACCCCTACAAACCCAAAGTCCCTGTCAACGCCATGTCGCCTTCCGTGCAGGCGTGCCGGGCAGGGTCAGAGTTCATCGTGGCCTGTGGAGGGCTCTGCGCTCGGTCTGATGAAGATGCCTTCCATGGCTTTCCAGGTGTTGTGCGAGTTGGCCCCGGACATGCCGTGCACCTCATGCTGTCCACGGATGGGGCTTCCATACTGCTCCCCGGTGATCGACAGGAACACTGACGTCCCGACGTGCTGGAAGCGCACGGCGGCCTCCCGCTCCCAGTGTTGCCCCGAGCAACGCACTGTCCACAGGTCAAGGTCATCGCCCTCACCATCTTCTCCAAAGGCACTCACCTCCTGAGGGAGGGCGTAAGGGGGGCTGCTGTCACCACAACGGGTCTGTTAAAGTCTCTGTGATCCCCTGTGCTTGGCCCTTCCCTGCACCTCTCTGAGGCTCCAGGTCCCCAACCACCTCCTATCTCCACCCTCTCCACAAATACAGGCTCCCTTCAACAGCCCCCTGGTTACTGGCCTCACTGAGGAAGCCCCTCCTCTTGCTCGGTCATCTTAACCCCTCCAAACCACTCTCAGCCCAAAGTCCAACCCCCCGGCTGACCCGCCCCACGACCACCCAGTCCATCCTGACTTATGTAGGCCTTACAACACAGAATAGAACTGCCCCACAGGGTCAGGGGTTCTCAGGCGGTCAATCTTTGATGGGAGCAGACTGCCTCATCTTTCTCCCAATGGGTGACTGGTGGGTTCAAACCACCAATCTCACTGTGAGCCGCCCAGTGCTTAACCCACGGCAACACCAGCGCTCCTTCCCCAGGCTCACCCTCAAGCGCAAAACAAAAAGGAGCACAACTGACCGGTTGCCATCAAATCAATTCGACTCGTGGCATGCCAGTGTCCAAGCCTCTTGAGTCTCAAACATTCCTGTCATCTCTTCAAAGTACCCACTGCCCCTGTGCTTGCTTGACCTCTAGAAAGCATCCTCTTTCTCTCTTGGAGGGGATGGTGGTTTTGAACCGCTAACCCTGCGGTTAACAGTCCAATGTGTAACCACTGTACCACCAGAGCTCCTGCCAGTTTCTCCCCGCCCCCCTCGGGGCCTGGAGAACTGGGCCTGAATCAGCATCCCAAAGGATTCCCCACTCAAAAAGGAATTCAGCGTCGCGCCCCCCTCCCCTAGGGATTGGCTGGGAGCTTTGGGGAGCCTGCAACGCTGTGGTTAAGCGTTGGGCTGCTAAGTGCAAGGTCAACAGTTTGAAACCACCAGCCACTTCTCCTTAGACGGGCTTTCTACTCCCAGAGTCCCAGTCTCGGAACCACCCCCACCCCCCACCTCCGGGGTGGTTCTACTCCGTCCTATATGTAGGGTCGCTAGGGTCAGGCCCAAACACAAAGTGTCCAGCTGGGGGCCGGCCACTCACCTGGTTGTTGGACAGCGGGGACGGGAAGTGGTGGGTGTGCAGGTTCTTGCCGGTCAGCACGTGAGTGAGCCGAACCGCTTGGCCGCAGCGCACGGGCGTCCCGCGCGGACAGCCTCCGTCCAGGCCACCGCGGATCCGCCAGTAACTGTTGGCATCGTCCGAAGCCTCCACACCGGTCACCGACTGCTGCCCGCTGCCTGCGGGGGCGACACCGCCCATTCAGCCTGGCCTCGCGCCCTCACGCCGGGCCCCAACGCTGGCCTCAGCTGACCCTTCCCGGGTCCTCGGGCCTGTGGCCCCCCGTTCGGCCCCCCTGTATCCACACGACCTCTTCCAGCAACCGCTCGCGACCCCCCGAAACCGCCCGTGCCCGAAACCCCGGCAGTCCGCGTACCGGATCCGTATTTGATGTCGTGCGAGTGCAGCCGAACCCGGTGGTGCGTGTTGAGCAGCTTGAGAACGGACCCGCAGGTCACGAGCCCCGCGCCCCTCTGCGCGCCGCCGCCGGC